TTAACATAATACCTAGCAAAGAGTAAATATTTAATAGTAGCTGTTGTATTATCATTATTACTAACATTATTACTGATTCACCCCCAGTCACTCCCTTCAAAATAATTTCAATTAGATTCTTCTCTGCCTCAAAACTCGAATTATTTCACAGCATTGTTGTCTTCAAGGAGCTGATAAATGTAAATACATACTGATTATTTTGAATCTTTTAAACAACTAAATATAAAAACCCAAACAGGGCAGGCGTGGTGGCTGACACCTGTACTACCAGCACTTTGGGAGGCCGAGGCAGGCGGATCTTGAGGTCAAGAGATGGAGATCATCCTGGCCAACATGGTGAAATCCCATGTCTACTAAAAATACAAAAATTAGCTGGGTGTGGTGGCGCACACCTGTAGTCCCAGATACTCGGGAGGCTGAGACAGGAGAATTGCCTGAACCCGGGAGGGGGAGGTTGCAGTGAGCTGAGATCATGCCATTGCACTCCAGCCTGGCACCTGGTGACTCTGTCTAAAAAGAAAAACAAAAAAACCCAAACAATACAGAAATTTACAGGGAAAACATTCAAGTTCTTGCTGCCCAATCCAATTATATGGGATACTCTACCCTTCACTTCCAGCCATATTAGTCATTATTAATTGCTTTATGTTTCCTTCCAAATATTTTGTACACATTTACATACACATGTATGTGTGCATGTAAATGTAAATATTCGGGTAGAATCTGAATAGTATAATGAAACCCATTTACCCTTACTGAGATTCACTAATTGTCAATAATTCACCATATAAAAATATCTAATTTTGATTTTTAACCAAAATATCTTTTATATCTTATACAGCCTTTAATGTCTATATTAAGACTATAGTTCCTAAAGCCAAATCTTTTCTAAGAAAAAGATGAATCATATCATCAAGGATTTGTATATTTTAAAGGAAATTTGAGATTCTAGTCAGTACAAAGTGTTGACATTTCAAAATCTCTCAGGCCTAATAACCTACTCACTTTTTGAAGCTCGCTGCCTTTTAAGAGTCAGAAATCTTATACATAATGACTCAGGAAACAGTTGAACATATACTTTTAATTTCAAAAAATCAAAATTGATAGCAGTAAGAATTATTTGATTTTTAAGAATAAATTTAAATTGTAGTACTTAAATAGAGGAAATAAGGTGAGTTCCATTTCAATTCCTTTTCCTTTCTTGTAAATTATAAAGGTTGGAATTTTACTAATTTCCTGGACAACAAATAGAAGAAATGCTGTCATTTGGGGCTTTTCCACGAATAACTACATTACTATGTTCTCAAAAAAACAAAACACCCCAGTGGAATCTTTTTTTTTTTTTTTTTTGGAGACAGGGTCTCATTCTGTTGCCCAGGCTGGAGTGCAGTGGAATGATCTCAGCTCACTGCAGCCTCATCCTCCAGGGGTCAAGCAAACCTGCCAAGTAGTTGGGACTACAGATATGTGCCACCACATATGGCTTTTTTTTGGGGGAGAGTGGGGTAGAGACGGGTTTCACCATTTTGCCCACTCTGGTCTTGAATTCCTGGGCTCAATCGATCTGCTTGCCTTGGCCTCCCAAAGTGCTGAGATTACAGGTGTGAGTCACTGCATCCAGTGGGAATCTTGCTTTCAATGGACTCCTTCAAAAGGCCAATACATAACGTGATCTGTGTAATGGTGTGTTTTGCAATATGGGGTCTAAAGAGTTGCTATGAATATGAAAGTACTTAGAATGGTGCCTAGCTAGTAACTAATCAATAAAGGTTATCTTAAGAGAAATAAAGTGAGCTTTTACTTACAATGAGTTATATTTATGTGTGTTTCCTATATCCTTCGTAAAGCTGAAATGAAAATTATTAAAATTATTTTCATTTTAAAATCATTTGAATTTTCAAATTCCTTATTCAACTGAAATTAGGGAAGAGCAATTTCCTTAACAAATTACATGGAAGAAAATCCAAGAAAGAAGAAACTATAGATTACGAAAAATTTAAGTGGTCAGGAGCGGCGGCTTTCACCTGTGATCTCAGCACTTTGGAAGGCCCAGGCAGGGGGATCACTTGAGGTCAGGAGTTTGAGGCCAGCCTCACCTACATGGTGAAATCCCGTGTCTACTAAAAATACAAAAATTGGCTGGTGTGGTGGCGTGTGCCTGTAGTCCCAGCTATTTGGGAGGCTGAGGCATGACAATTGCTTGAAACTGGAGGGCAGAGGTTGCAGTGAGCCGAGATCACACCACTGCACTCAATCCTGGGTGACAGAGTGTGACTCCATCTCAAAAAAAAGAAAAAAGAGACCTATCAACCAAATGCATATGTAGACCTTGTCTGGGTGTGAATTCAAACCAACTGTGAAAAGATAGTAAATGAGCAATATACACACACACATACTTCAAGTGGGGAAATATAAAGACTGCAGATGGTTGGTGATATTATTAGTTATCATTTTTTAGGTATGATAAATGACACTGTGGTTGTGTTAAGAAAAAAACAGCTCTTATCTTTTAGAAGTACTCTAATAATTTATGAACAAAATGATATGAAGTTGAATCTCATGTAATTATTTTGTTGGTCAAACGAATGGATATGGACAATTTCATATGATTCAATTAATATATCTGCAGTTTGCTACAGAATAATCCAATTAGAAGGGCTGGAGGCCAGTGGATAATAGAGGGGGAAAGAAAGAGTGATCCAGTTAATGATTGTTGTAGTTCTATGATGAGTACAAGGGAGTTCACTGTTCCCTATTTTGATGTTTTAATTTTTCTGTTTTTAACAAGAAAACCAAAAGAACCTTACCTTATACAACTGTGCCTTGCCTAATGCTTACTAGCATTATATTTGATAAGTAATAAATACCGAAAACACAGATGTTGAACATGTTTAAGTCAATATTCTTAGAAAGGTCCATCTATAAGAATGATGAATTCACAAAAACACAGACTGGCAAAGGAAGATCAAATGCAAAGACAAAAATTAGAAACAAAAAGTTCTTCGAATTTTATAGAACTCTCACATGTGACTAACTTTTCATTCTGCAGATTTTATTATCTCTCAAAGTTATCTCTCAAAATTTGTGATGGCTATATATTCCTCATTCTATAATCCCTTTTACTTAAGTATTTTATATTACCTAGGCTGATTAAAAAAACATTTGCACTGAACTCTATTACCTAACTCTATTTATTGAGTTCAGATATAGGTACAGACTAGAGAGAATAGAGAAAATTGAAAATGTGAATATTAAGCAACTCAGAATCATTTTGCTTTTGGTTTTTACATGAGACACATATAATTTTACACACACATTTATCCAGCTGAAAAGTGACTTCTTGCTTATAGCCAGGCCAATTTTGTTTATATATATATTAAATGCAATTTGATAATATAGCCAATGTTAATAAGAATAGAGTCATTTTACCCTGTGTATATCCTAAAGGGTTTATTAAGACATAATAGCTTAAAAGTTACAGAAAAATATATTAATGCTTCCTTAATATTAGGGAGAATCTGTTAACATTTAAAGCTGTCAAAGAAATAAACTATGTCCTAGAGAATGAGAACCCCTTACTTGACATATTAAACCAGAAGTTGGAGGGCAAACAGAGAAGGCTAAAACTTGATAATCTCATGGCCTGTGCCACCAGACAGGTAAGAATCTCAATCTGACCCTTATCTTAGGTTATGATTTTGGTAAGTTACCTAATTTCTCTAAACTTTAGCTTTTATTCAACACAAAATATATCATTCCTGTCAAGATTAAATGATATCATGCATGTAAATTGGTTAACATACTGCCTCAGACATTATAAGTAATTAATAAACACTGTTACAGAATTCTGACCAGTCACACAATCAGTATTCAAGTAATCAGTAACATCTTCACTACTACTGCTAGTGCTATATTAGAGAATAGTAGGTAGTTGATATGGTTTGGTTCTGTGTCCCCACCCAAATCATATGTTGAATTGTTATCCCAAGAGTTGGAGGTGACGCTTGGTGAAAGGTGATTGGATCATGGGGACAGATTTCCCCCTTGCTGTTCTTATGATAGTGAATGAGTTATCACAAGATCTGGTAGTTTAAAAGCATGTAGCATTTTCCCCTTAATTTGTTGTCTCTCCTGCTACCATGTGAAAACATACTTGCTTCCCCTTCACCCTTCTGCCATGATTGTAGTTTCCTGAGGTCTCTCCACCATGCCTCCTGTACAGCCAGTCTGTAGAAATGTGAGTCAATCAAACCTCTTTTCTTTATAAATTACCGGTCTCAAGTAGTTCTTTATAGCAATGTGAGAAAAGACTAATATAGTAATTGATGAATGGAACAAAGGACACCTCTAGCCTGAGACAGAATGGATGGGATAGTAGAAGACACAGAAGACCATTTCTGGCAGGTTTATTTATTTATTTTTTTTCTGTGAAATGGCAAATTAGAAGCTTTGTTACCATAACTTACCCACTTAGAAATAGCAAAATAGTGTGTACAGATTCACATGGTGAACTTTTATCCAAGAAGGAACATGGGAGCTCAACATAAAAGCAAAACAACCTTTGAATAGTTTGAAAAATACAGTGGGTAGTAACCTGCACTGTGGATCTGGTGAACAACTATGAGTGAATCTCCCGTATATGACAGGGGAGAGAGTATCTTACAATACATATTTCCACTGAGGAACCAGGCAATCTAGGCCACCGGGGTGCTCTGTGACCCTACTGAGAGCTGGATCTGACTTGAAAAACAAGAGGGAGACTGTGAGAAGGAACAGCAGTGGGAAGTGCTCCATATGCACTCCCATCGCCCGGCACTGATAGAAGGACATTCCCGATCCTAAGGGGGCTGCATGAAAACCAGCCAGCCAGCACAGGTGGCAGACACTGGTTTGGAGAATCTCCAGACGAGGATTTGTGATCCAGTCTCTAGGGTGACAGGAGCCCCCATGGCCAGAACTGAGAGGTGAGCATATGTGGGCTCCAGCTATGGGTACAGGAGCTGGGCACCATCCCTCTGTAGGATGAGACCAGGAAGGGTATGGCCTGGGGGCCATGTTTTTTGTCTCAGGCAGGGAGCTTTGAGACCTGGGTGATTTCGCAATCTGAAGAAAGACTGCTTATAACTTGGCTGGCCATTTCAGCTTACTACTGGCAGCAGGTCATGGGAGGGAGCCCTACCAAGCTGAAAGTGTGGATGTCAGGCAGATCCCACTACTGCCTGCTAGGCTGTGGATCCCAAACTACCCTTTGTCCCTGTATTGGCTTTCTGACATAGCACAAGTTGTTCTGCTCCTCCCTTGAGCATTGCCCCAGGGGCCTGGGAATTGCTGTTGCCCCGGGGGCCTGAGAATTGCTTTCTGATCCTTGTTGGGGATGGCACTTGTGCTTGGTGTTGGGGATGCCAGAGCATGGGACTGTCCAGCCTAGCCTCACTTGGCTTTGCCCCCATCAACCTGCATCTGAGGCAGAGCATGGGTACAGGGCCCCTGAGTGTTCCACAGTCCAGCTGATCACCTAAGACATCGGAGTGCTTACAGTTAACAAAGGTCAAGCGTACTGCCACCACTTCAGCTGGACCTCACGTGCAGGCACCATCTACTGGCTGGTAGGTCAATCTGCAGAGCTTATTACATTATCTGCTGATAAAATTGCATAGGGTTTGAAAAACAGACAAGCTTTACGTGACCTCTACTACCAACATCACACCCTGGCTACTCAGAAGGCCTTGAACCCACTTGCTCAACCTTACATTATAACTACAACTAGCATTTGAGAAATCCACCAAACTGAGGCTATTTATAACCAAGGAAATCATACATAGTCTATACCACTAAATGCACCCAGAAGCAAAGCCAAACAACCCTACTCAACATACATCACAGATGCATCCTGAAGAAGAAAAAAAATGTTACATTTCAGTAAAAGTAAATTCAAAATAAGAAGAAGCAACTGTTTTCCCATGTGCAAAGGGATCAGTGCAATAATACTGGAAATACTTAAAAAAAAAAAAAAAACAAGGTGCCATGACACCTCAAAGAAATGAGGGAATGTGTTCTCTTTCCAGGTCCACAAGGGGGTGTAGTTTTAAGGGCAAGAACTTAACCAGGGCCATGCCTCTCTCCCACCTCTCTCCATCTGGGAGATTTAACGGTTCCTGTTTTAATTTTCGTGGGCACGGGAACAATCAAAAGTCAATCACTCCAGCGGAAGTTTCAAGGAACTCCTTTCATTGGCCAGGAATCTGGAGAAGGTGGGGATTCCTCCCAGGTTAAAAGTCCCCTTCTTCTTCACCCCTTTGGATTCTGTGTTTAAACCCCCTTCCACGAACTCTCTCGTGGAAGCTGTAACCTTCTCTCTCCTGGATTTCCCCTTTGGAGTCTCCTTCCACACACACACTCTCTCTCTCATGTGGAAGTTTTCTCTCTTCTTCTCCTTTTTTCTTTCTCTACCTAAATAAATTCACTTTTTGCAAAAACACTGTTTGGGGTCTGGTATTTACTTTGCAAGTGCACCTGGTCCCCCCTCTCATTCTTGAAGGAGTAGGAGACCAAGAACCTTGGAGAAACATCCTCTCAGGGGAGCTGAGGACTGCCCTGAACCCCAAATGAAACACAGTAATTCTATAGCTATGGAGCCTAACAAAAAAGAAATCTCTCAACAATATATAAGAGAAATCTAAAAACTAACACAAAGAAATTAGAAAATAAATTCAGTATATAACCGAAAAATCTGCAAAGATATATACAACTACGTCACTGTCTACATCTACAGGATATGACTGAGAAATTCACCAAGGATATCTATATCCATCCATCTATAAAACTATCTATCTATATATCTATAAAACCAAACTGAATCTATCAATCAATCAAACCAAACTGAACTTTTGGAAATGAAAAACTTATTGAAGAAATTACAAAATACAGTTGAAAGTTCTGACAATAGACTAGACCAAATGGAAGAAAGAATCTCAGAAACAGAAGAGGGGTCTTTCAAATTAATCCAGTCAGACAAAAGATTTTTTAAAAAAGGATTTAAAAAATGAACAAAGTATTTGAGAAGTATGGAACTATGAAAACCAGACTGAACCTACAAATCATAGGTATTCCTGAGGGAAAAAAAAGAAAAAAGAAAAAAGTTTGGAAAACTAATTTGAGGAAACAGTTAAGGAAAACGTCCTTACTCTAGCAAAAGATCTAGACATCCAAATACAAGAGGCCCAATGAACTCTAGAAAATACATTGCAAGAAGAACCTCACCATGACACAGTCATCAAAACGTCTGTGGTTAACATTAAAGGGGGAAAAATCCTAAAATCAGCAAAAGCATCTAGTCACCTATAAAGGAAATCTCAACACACTAACAGCAGACTTCTCAGCAGAAAACTTACAAGCCAAGAGACTGAGATTCTATTTTCAAAGTGTTTAAAGAAAAAAAAAATGTCAACCCAAAATTTCGTATCCTGCTAGAATAAGCCAAGGAGTAATAAAGTCTTTCCCAGATAAGAAAATGCTGATGGAATTCATCACCACTAGACCAGTCCTATAAGAAACACTCAAAGAAGTTTTTAACATGGAAACAAAAGGTTGACACTCTCTATCCTAATAACAAACAAAAGTATAAATCTCATAGGTCATATAAAACAACTACACATATGAGAAAGACAAATAAAGCATATGACAATGTGACAAAACCCTACTAAACCTAAAAAGAGAAAAAAGGAATCCCAAAGGCAAGTAGAGAATAGTTAACATTATCACAGAAACAAAACCTTACATATCAGTATGACTCTTTAAAATAAATTGATTAACTGCTCCACTTAAAAAATAAAGATTGCTGGAATGAATTTAAAAACAGATCCAACTATATTCCAATTAGGAGAAATTTGCCTTACTCGTAGACACATATAGACTGAAAGTAAAGGAGTAAAAAACCATATTCCATGCAAACAAAAATCAAAAGCAAGCAGAAATAACTATACTTAGATAAAACAGACATCAATAACAGTTAAAAAAAAAAGATCTTTATATAATAAAACAATTCACCAAGAAAATATAACAATCCTAAATATATATGTACCTAACACAGGAGCACCCAGATTAATAAAACAAACATTACTAAACCTAAGAAAAAAATATAAATAGCAATACAATACTAGTGGGGGACTTCAGTACCCCACTGACAGCACTAGACAGATCATGACAGAAAATTAAAGTGGATTTTAGACCAAATGGACCTAATAGACATTTATAGAACATTCTATACAAGGAATGTATCATCACATGGAACATTGTCCAAGACAGTACATGTGTAAGGTCACAAAAGAAGTCTCAGTACATTTTAAAAAAAAAAAAAGCACCTCAAAATCAATCCAAGTATCTTCTTGGAATAAGACTAGAAATCAATTCTGAGAGGAACTTTCAAAACTATACAAACATATGGAAATTAAGGAACATGCTCCTGTATAATCTATGGAGTCAACAATGAAATTAAGGCAGAAATTTAAAACAAAAATTGAAAAGAATGAAAACAGACACAACATATTAAAAACCTCTGGGATACAGCAAAAACAGTGCTAGGAGAGAATTTTCTAACATTAAATACCTCCATTAAAAGACAGAAATATTGCAAATTAACAACCTAACACTATATCTCAAGGAACTAGAAAACCAAGAACAAATCAAACTCAAAGCTAGAAGAAGAAAAGAAATAACAAAGATTCAAGCAAACATAGACAAATTGAGACCAAAAAATACAACACAAAGGATCAATCAAAAATAAAATAGTTGATACTTGGAAAATATAAACAAAATTGATAGAACACTAGACTAACCAAGAAAAGAGGAGAGAAGATTCAAATAAACACAATCAGAAAAGAAAAAGGAGACACTACAATGGATACCACAGAAATATAAAAGAATATCAGATACTACTATGAGCAGCTCTGCACTCACAAACTAGAAAACCAAGAGGAAATGGCTAAGTTCCTGGAAACATACAACCTCCCAAGACAGAACCAGAAAGAAACAGAAATTATGAAAAGACTAATAAAGAGTAGTGATTGAACTAGTAATAAAAAATCAACCATCAACAAAAAAGTTCAGGACCACATGAATTCACTGCCAAATTCTATCAGTTGTACAAAGAATAGCTGGTACCAGACCTACTAAAACTGTTCCAAAAATTAATGCGGAGAGAAGCTTCCCTAACTCATTCTATGATGCCAGTATTACCTGTTATCAAAGCACAGCAAATACACAACAATAACAAAAAAGAAAACTACATATCAATATCTCTGTTGAACATAGACACAAAAATCCTTGATAGAATACCAGAAAACTGAATTCAACAGCACGTCAAAAAAATAATGCATCATGATCAAAGCAGGTTTTTTCAGGGATGCAAGAATGGCTCAACATATGCAAATCAATAATGTGATTCAATAAACATAAAACAAAAACCATATGATCATCTCAATAGATGTAAAAAAATCATTTGATAAAATTCAGCATCACTTTATATTAAAAATCTTCAACAAAATAGGTACAGAAGGGACATATTTCAACATAATAAAAGCCATATAAAACAAACCCATGGTTAACATAATACTGAAGGGGGAAAAAGATAAAAATATTTCCTCTAAGAGGTGGGACAAGACAAGGATGCCCACTATCACCACTCCTATTCAACATAGTACTAGAAGTCCTAGCCAGAGTAACCAGGCAAGAGAAATAAACAAAAGGCATCCAAATTGGAAAAGAATAATTCAAATGATCTCTGCTGACAATATGATCTTATACCTAGAAAATCCTAAAGACTCCTCCAAAAGACTCCTGTATTTGATAAATGAATTCATTAAAGTTTCAGCATACAAATTGACATACAAAAATCAGCACCATTTCTATACACCAATAACTACCAAGCTGAGAGCCAAATCAAGAAGTCAATCACATTTACAGCTGCTATCAAAACCAAAACAACAACAAAATCCTAGGAATAAAGTTAACCAAAGGGGTGAAAGATCTCTACAAGGACAACTATAAAACACTGACTTTAAAAAAATGCAGATGACACAAACAAATGTCAAAACATCCCACATCATGGATTGGAAGAATCAATATCATTAAAACAATGATGCTGATGAAAGTAGTCTATAGATTCAATGCAATTCCTATCCAAATACCAACATCATTTTTTCACAGGATTAAAAAAAATAATCCTAAAATTAATATGGAGCCAAAGGAGAGCCAAAATAGCCAAAGCAATCCTGACAAAAAGAACAAAGTTGGATGCCCCATAGTAGGCGACTTCAAATTACAGAAGGCTATAATAATCAAAACAGCACAGTACTAATGTAAAAATAGACACAGATCAATGGAACATAACAGAGAACAAAATAAAGCCGCATGCCTACAGACAACTGATTTCTGACAAAGTCAACAAATACATACAATGGGGAAAGGACACCTTAATCAATAAATGGTGCTAGGAAAATTGGAGTACCATATGCAGAAGAACAAAATTGAACCTATATCTCTCACTGTATGCAAAAATTAACCCAAGATGGATTAAAGGCTTAAATGTAAGACCTGCAACTAGAAAAAATATCAGAAGAAAACCTAGGAAAAACTCTTCTGGACATTTACCTAGGCAAAGAATTCATGACTAAACCCTCAAAAGCAAATGCAACAAAGGCAAAAATGGCTGGCCATGGTGGCTCACACCTGGAATCCCAGCATCTCTGGAAGTCAATGCAGTAGGACTTCTTGAGGCCACGAGTTCAAGACTAGCCCAGGCAATACAGTGAAACCACATCTCTATAAAACACACACAGACAAATAAATGTGAATTAATTTAACTAAAAAGCTTATGCCCAGCAAAAGAAGCAATCAACAAAGTGAACAATCTGCAAAATGGCAGAAAATATTTGCAAAGTATGCATCCAACAAGGGACTAATATACAGAATCTATACGGAATTCAAACTAAGAGCAAAACAAAAAATTAACCCTAGTAAAAAGTATGCAAAGATGTTTGTTTGCCTATGTAATAAACCTGCACATCCTGCACATGTACCCTGGAACTTTTGGGAAAAAAAATGGTGCAAAGGACATGAGCAGACATTATTCAGAAGATGACATACAAATGACCAACAAGCATAGGAAAAATGCTCAAGATCAGTAAAAATCAGAGAAATACAAGCTAAAGCCACAATGAGGTATCATCTTATACCAGTCTGAATGGCTACTATTAAAAAGTCAAAAAATTACAGATGTTGGTGAGGATGCAAAGAAAAGAGAATGCTTATACACTATTGGTGGGAATGTAAATTAGCACAACCTCTATGGAAAACAGTATGAAGATATCTCAAAGAACTAAAAATGGAACTACCATTAGATCCAGCAGTCCTACTACTGGGTATCTACCAAAAGGAAAATAAGTTATGACATCAAAAAGATGCCTGCACTTGTGTATGTTTATTGTAGCACTATTCACAATAGCAAAGATATGAAACCAAACTAAGTGCCCATTAACATATGACTGGATAAAGAAAACGTGGTAGGTATATATAACGGAATACTATTCAGCAATAAAAAAAGAATGAAATCATGTATTTTGCAGCAACATGGATGGAACTGGAGGCTGCTATCCTAAGTGAAATAACTCAGAAACAGAATCAAATGCCATATGTACTCACTTATAAGTGGGTGCTAAAAATGTGTTCACATGAATGAGAGAGTGGAATGATACATGTAATGGAGACTCAGATGACGTGGTTTGGTGGGGGTAGCATGGTAAAAATTTGGTTAATCGGTACAATATATATTAGTTGGATGATGGGTACCCTAAAAGCCTTGACATGACTTTACGCATATAAAATAAAATCATACATGTATTCCATAAATCCGTAAAAAACAAAACAGAAAAGACTAGTAGGATGTTGAGGTAGAGACAAATATCTATGGGAAATTCCCAGATTAAGAAACAATTTGAAATTATTTTCTCTTCATGCTGACTTCAAATGTCCAGTTTCTTGATTCATTTTTCTTTTGTTCTCAAAAACTTTTAGCAATTATTGTTTCTTCACTGTTTCTTTTAGTCCCTTTCTCTCAAACTCATATTACATGAATATTAGAGCCTTTCAATCTACCTTATATGTCTTTTAGCTGTGGTAAATTACATTGTTTTTTTCTAACTCTGTACTGAGTTTCTGGTAAATGTATCACAACTATCCGGAATTCTCTCCTCAACTCTATCTAGAGAAGAGTTTATTTCATGTACTGATTTATACTTACTTCAACAATTTTTAAGTTTTCTATTTGAGTTCTCTTCATACATACATTTATCTCCTGCTTTTGTTTTTATAGTTTTCTGTTCATTTTTATTTGACGTTTTGTCTGCATTTGTCTTTTTGAATATTTGGTATGAACATATTTTAAGGTTTTTGCTATTTCTATAAATTAATTTCATTATTCAGTAAATTTACGTTCTGACTTTTCTTCTTCTGGTTGTAATACTTAGCAGTAGATTCCTCCATATGATTTTGAATATTGTTTTACTGGCTAATTTTGAGTGGAAGATGCTTTTCTGCTGTTGTTTTCTCTCACTTCCTTCTCCCTGCTCATACCTGTCTGTCCTTATCTTTCATCTTGACCCTTCCATCCCTAGTCAAAAATAATTCTTCTAGAATTCAGTAATTCTACCACAAGTTATATTGTACATATGGAATACTCTTTCATAGACACATTTGATACTTTGGTTGCATTTCTAATAGATTAATAGGTATGTCAGCTATCCTCCCCTCACACACCCCCTCCCTGTATCCTCGGGCAAGCAGTTAAAAGATGTAAGCAGAGGTTGGCACACATGTGCACATGTGCATGCATGTGTGTGTACGTTCTAACCTGCCTTCTTAGAGACAAGTGCTGATGTGTTATTAAAAACTGTCATTTCTATTTAAGATCTATCATCAACAGGCCTGGGTATTTAACTAAGTTCCTTTTTTCTTCTTCAAACCATTTATGTTTAATTATTGGCAATTTAGCTGTTTATGTTGCTTGTGAACTTGGCTTTGCCTTTTTTTTTTTTTTTTTAATCTTTTCATATGTTTTATATGTCCTGGCCATGTTTTTGGTGTACAATCAGTGATTGATGGTTCACTATCATGCCATCCTGATTTGAAGACAGGTTCCTAAGTCAGTAGATTTTAGTATAAATATACCTGGCATAACTCTTACTGATTCTAAGTGAACAAGGAAAGGCAAGGAAAAGTCAGGATTATAAATCTAATGTAATTCACTTACTGGTCCCCCACAGTAAATAATATATAAGTGATTGCTTTATTGATAGAATTTGCTTGGCTTCATTCTGAATTTTGTAAGTTCTCCATGAATTTCTGCCCCCAAGTTTTCTAAGCACTACAGTACAATCAGAGGAGCACTATTAGCCCAGAAGTCTAAAGTCCTGGGGCCTAGGTGGGTGAATCTGAGCATTTTCATATTTCAATTTCCTCCTTTATAAAAGAGGTATAATGTCTACATTCACCTTATCATGGAGTTGTTGTGGACACTGCAGAGATAACAGAGTGAAATTCAACAGTTTTACTAGCTTTTGTTTGGAAAGAGATATATTGCTAGGTCTAGGGAAATAAAAATTGAAGCATAGCCCTTTGGTTATTTATAATACTGTGGTCCAGATCACCTGTTTTATTTTCAGTTGTAACAATGCAATGTGGACTATGATAAACACTAAACTCTAGGTATAAAGAATGAATTAAGACCACCCTGCAAAAAGAGCAATTTATACTGAGGAAATGAGAAAACCTGCCTTAATAGCCAATCTTTGATCTAAAGCCCTGTGAAAATGCCAAGATGCTATGTAAATCTAAGATGTGCTATTATTTTATTTTATATATCAAAGTTTTCTCGTGAGTGAATCTGATTGGAGACATTTGGTCATTGTGTCTTGTCTTTTTTGTTCACTGTGTAGGTTGGACCTTGTACTTAAATCTTCCTTCTTCTGGGTCCTGATGCTTGGCACACTCTTGTAGTATGGCAGTCAATCATTCTTTCATCTGTGACAACTAATTTTGATGCGGATTTTGAAAAGTTTGTCATTGTATGTTTTACTTTTTACAATGTAATTATTGAAAATTTTCTCCTCCAGGCTGCTTTTCAATCTGATGTTCCAAGGAAACACCCATTTTGCTATTATCCAGATACATTTAGACAGAGCCACTGCAGTAGAACATTGTGTTCTATTTGCTTTAATTTTTTTTCAAGAGACAAAGATAAACAGTTTAAACAGATAACCATCTCTGGTTGCTGATTCTAACAATAATATTTAGCAGCCAGTGAATATTCTGCAAGTGCCTTTCTCAGAAAGGCTGCATTAAGTAAACAAGCAGCAAATATTCCAAATGACTGATAGATAATAGAAGTTAAATTTAGTGAGCTAACTGCCCATATCAGGCTAAAACATTGTTTTTCTGTTATGGTAAATACTACTCATCTTGTTTAGACAGGTTTTATCAAAAACTGTGTTAGTATTTCATACCAAACATATTTTTATGAAGCTCATGAGGGCTAAAACTAACAAATTTTGAGCTGCTTGAGTCATATTTCATTAGTTTTCTTTAGATGTATTTTTTTATTTATTTCCAAATCACAAGTTACACTGTGTCCTATGTTTTATGGAACAATAGTGAGTGTAGCATATTCCAATCAGTCGGTATTTTCAGTAAAATCTGGGTTGTTTTTGCCATTGAAATCTCAGCCATGAATTTAATTGGTATTTTGAAACTTATTTTCATTTGATTCCTGGCTGCCAAAGAATGATTTTGTTACAGGTGTTTTTTGAGATTTATGTACTTAACATGTGGTAGGTTGTATATCAGATATGACTGTAATTTGAAGCATCAAAGTGTCATTTCCTTTGCAAACTTAAAAAAAAATTTTTGGGGGTTTTTTCCAGTCTCACTCCGTTGCCCAGGCTGGAGTGCAGTAGCCTGATCTTGGCTCACTGCAGCATTGACCTCCCGTGCTCAGGTGATCCTCCCACCTCTGCCTCCTGAGTAGCTGGGACTTTAGGCGCACACCATCATTCGCAGCTAACTTTTTTGTATTTTTTGTAACGATGAGATTTTGCCATGTTGCCGGAGCTGGTCTCGAACTCCTGGACTCAAGAATCCAACCACCTCAGCCTCCCAAAGTGTTTGGGTTACAGGCATGTGCCACTGTGCCCAGCCCTTCACAAACTTTATAGCATGAGTAGTTTAAGAGATGTAGCCATTCCACAGAAAAGATAGTTACTATACACTCTATCCACAGCATCTTCAACTGTTTATTATTGCTATAAAGCAACACCGGACGCTAGGAAATTTATAAAGAAAACAGATTTATTTAGCTCATGGTTCTACAGGCTGGAATGTTCAAGAGTAGCCATCTGGTGAGAGCCTCAGGCTGCTTCTACTCAAGGTAGGTGAAGGGAAGCCAACATGTGCAGAGTCTACATCGCGAGAGAGAAAGCAGAAAAGTGAAGGGGAGGTGCCTGACTCTTTATAACAACCAGCTCTCGCTGGAACTTATAGAGTGAGAATTCACTCACCTACCTACCCACCACAGGAAGGCATTAATCTATTTTTGAGGAGGCGTAACCAATGATCCAAACATTTTCCATTAGGCCCTCACCTTCGACATTGGGATCAAATTTTAGCATGAGGCTTGGGTAGGCGAAACATCCAAACTATGGCAGTCAGAATAATAACAAACACCAAAAAGTAAACTTCCACAGTGCAAGGATTTTATCTTTCTCACTGTATTTTCAGATCCTTAAACAGGCCTTAGCACATAGTGGCTGTTCAATAAACTAACTGAAATAATTATCATAAGCCCCTGGATCATAATGAGTATTCCCACTGCTTCTATAAATACTGGCACATAGAAGCTGGGTCCTGTCCTCCTTCAAAAGATGATCTTAAAAAAATGTATAAATTTAGTGGGTCCAAGTATAGTCTTGATACAAGGATACACTGCATAGTGGTGAAATCTGTACTTTTAGTGTAACATACATCACCTGAGTAGTGGACATTGAACCCATAAAGTAATTTCTCATCCTTTAAACCCCTCCCACCTCTCAAGTCTTCAATATCTATGAGTCCACACTGTATGTCCATATACACACCTTGAGGTACAGTAAAAATATGGCATTAGATTAATCTTATGAAACTACCATCATGTATGCAGCCTGTTGCTGACTGGAATGTCGTTATGCAGAGCATGACTATGCTTCTTTGGCCTAAACAACTTACATGCCAACAAAAGTTTCACTGTTTCTTGATTTTGTGTCTTTCAAAATGTTTCTTCTAGAACGCCTCTCTCATTTTCGAACTATTAATCAAAATAGTATAAATGATTCAAGCAATGGCTCATTCTCCCTCTCTGTATTCCTTGACTTACCTTAATTAAAATAACTCTATTACATCCATGGATATCCAGAATATTTTATTTAATACCTCTTACAAACAAATATTATATGTACACAGGGCAGTTTGGTACCCAAAAAAACCTTGGAAATGAAAGAAATAAAGCTGTTCTCTAAATTAAAATTTTAAACATTAATATATATTTCAATAAACTGTCATCTTTTCAAAAATTTCTGGTCCACAAGCCAGACCAACACATAACGAGTGGCATTTACTTAAAAATATATTCTCAAGAGAATTATATTAAGTAGAAAGGAGGTGGGAAGAAATGAGGAATATTCAAATACTAAACAATAAAAACTCAGTGAGTACACCAAGTCACAGCAGTATTGTTCACAAAAGCCAAAAGTGGAAACAACCAAAATGTCCATCAATAGATAAATGGATAAACAAAATGTGGTATAAGCACACAATGAAATTTATTTAGTCTTATGATGGCTGAAAATTCTGATACATGCCACAACCTGGATGAGCCTGGAAGACACTGTGCTAAGTGAAATAAGCCAGACACAAAACAATAAATATTGGATGATTCCATTTATACATGGTACTTACAAAAGTCAAATTCCTAGAGAGAATGGATGATTGGGGAAATGTAAAGTTATTATTTAATGGGTCCAGCTTCTGTATGGGTTGATTAAAAAGTCCTGAGGATGGATAGCAGTGCTGGTTGCATAAAAATAAGAATATACTTAATTCTAATGAACTATAAACTTTAAAATGGTATATTTTATGTTATATATATTTTAACACAATTATATCTACAAACTTAGTGAAGGAAGAGTTGACAGGTCACACCCAAACAATGACCCAGGTACAGATGACCCATGTCCACTTAATAGATATAACTTTACTGTGAAAAATGAGCACATAAAACGATTAGAACCTGGTACAACTAAACAATAAAAAAAAAAAATGCCTCTCTTCCTAAGTTCCAAGTGTTAGGCCAGTATGCTCAACAAAATGCAATTCCTTTTTTACTCTTCAATTTCCAGCTGCAGAGGCTATGAACAAGGAGCTTCTAACATAAAACCTAACTTGTAATATTGCAATTCTCACACATCAAAATCCAAGAAAATGGTATATGAGAAATAATTATTGAAAACTCGTCAGCACACCTTCTAGGTATTGATATAGCTACGAAGTATCACAGAATACCTACTATACTCAAGATACTATGCTAATAAATTAAGTACAATGAAATATAATGCTATTCTCACTGTCTGGGAATACAATGCAGTTTGGGACTAGATAGGTAAGCATTAAAAGCTATATACAATACAAAGCAATATATACAAGGTTCAAAATGAGTGGCACAAACAACAGATCTTAAAAGACCTAAGACAAGAAAAAAACCTCCAGAACAGACATGATACAAACTTTCCTATAAACTTGCCTATAGATTTCAAGAAATATCAGTTCTCTACTTGGTTACTGTCCTTCTCCACAGGATGTCTTCCCTAATTATTCTAGCCTCTATATGTCATTTGCTGTACTCTATGCTGTAATCTGTTTTCAATTTCTTATAAGTTGGCTTGTCACCATAACAACTGAGCTAACAGAAAGTATCTACATTAGTTAGCATAATTCTGTACATAAAGAATGTGCTCCATAAAGACTCAATGAACTGAAATGAATGCTTCTGTTATAAGATCTCAGGAATGTTGCCCCATTTACATAATAAAGCAAACAATTACTAGTTAATGTTTGCAATACAGATAATTTTGGGGATGAAGAGGCTATATAGAGTAGGAACTATATCTCATGATTTATCCCACTCCAAAAAGTATTAGCATTATGGATATGGCAGGCATTCAACAATTACTAGCTGCCTTTATTTTGGGACAATTCTATACTTTCTCCGTAACTCAGTACATACTTTTGTGGTTTTCTGCACAAGGAGATATATTAAAGAAAGCATGAAATGATCTAAAACCAAGACAATTGTCAGTTACAATGAAATGTTAGTTCTTGGTAGACTTCTAGGGAGTTTTTGGGTTTTGCTTCCCTGATTTCTCTTACCTGGAAGAGGTCCAGAAGATATCAGTACAATTTGGATTATCAAGTAAAAGTTTGGCTGAATTTATTTGTACCATAAAATGTAATAACTATAATCTGATTTTTAAGAAATTTAAAATAATTAAAACTTCAAGACTACCAAAGATAATCAAACTCACCTACAAAGGAAAAATAATGCAAAATATGATCTGAAGACAATAGAGAAAATAACGCCTCCAATTACTTATAAAGGCAGAGCAAAAGGAAAATTAGTAATTTTGAGAGAGAAATTAAAGTAAGTCCCAAAGGAAGAGTAAGGGTCTAAGGACCTAAAAAGAGCCCTCATTTGGCAATCAAAATGATTACTAATACCCTAATTTTTTTCTTTTTTTTTTTTGCCCTAATTTTTTTATTGGAGATAATGTACACATGATTTTAATTTTTTCTAGAAAATGGGTAATTTTTATTGCTATACTTTTAAAACATTTTACTCTAAAAAGAAGGACTCTAATCTAAGGCCTAAGTTGTAATTTTTGCAGCTTATATATGGCTGTGTTTAGCTGAAGAATGAAACGACAAGTGAAAAGCTTCGACTGCCTAAGACAGAATCTGATTTTCCCATGCAATTATCAGAAAACAGTATATCATTAATCATTTGTGCTACCATGTAATCATATAACTCCACTAAACCATTTATCACAGATCTGTTTTCTCTAACACTCTAGAACTAGAAATTAATTCTGGCAGATCTGAGTCAACTTGCTATCTGCACAGAAGCCATAATTTCTATTGGTGATAGGAATAAAGGAGGGTACAAATTAGAGGAAAAGAACATCCATTAATGCTTAAAATAAAGGGATGACACATACAAATGCATTTAAATTCAACAGTTAACTAACAGAGCTTGACCAGTACCAATGTGAAAGAGACAGAGAACATCATGAATGTAATGTAAGCAATTTTACTTGATATTCCTCTAAGATTATATTCTAGAATGAGCGTAAGATTCAAAATAAAAGCATGCTATCCACAGTGTATTGCAATTTAGGAATGCCTTTTAGGAAAGAAAAAAGAAAACATTTACACTGTGTATGATTCAAGTATTGAAGTCACAATTCCTAATTTTCTTTTTCTTTCTTTCTCTTTCTTTCTTTGTTTTTTTGAGACAGGGTCTTGCTCTGTTACCCAGGCTGGAGTGTAGTGGTGTGATCCCTGCTTACTGCAACCTCCTCCTCCTGGGTTCAAGCAATTCTCCTGCCTCAGCCTCCTGAGTTGCTAAGACTACAAGTGAATGCCACCATGTCTGGCTAATTTTTGTATTTTCAGTAGAGTCGCTTTTGCCATGTTGGCCAGGCTGGTCTCAAACTCCTGGCCTCAAGTGATCTGCCCACCTAGGCCTCCCAAAGTGCTGGGATTATAGGTATGATCCACTGTGCCCAGCCTACAATTCATAAATTTTAATAAACATAAACTCCAAATATACTAAGTTTCATCCAGTAGTCTGCTGGAAAAAAACCCATTTCTTCCAGCATTCAAACAGTAAGCTGCTTTAGATATGATTAATTTCATATTACCTCTGTAATTATGCAGATAATTTACCAATTTCTTAGGACAACCTTAGTACTACAAGATTTTTTTCCTTATGCATTATCTTTAGAACCCAGTTATCACATATGATGCGCACATATGTACTAAAAAGCTATACATGATACTTAACATATGCTAAATACTTATCTAGTTTTATTTCTCAAAGCAATAAATAACAGATATGTAACTTTTACTCTCCCACAAAGTTGTGATTATTTGTTTGAAAAATAGTAACTTTTAAAGTATGTTCTCTTTTTCTAAATATTGAAAGGTTATCCCCAAATACCTTTGTGTACAGTAAATATCAACTTGCGATATTTTGTAGCAGAGTGAAATCTTGAAAAACTGTAGGAAGATAAGTAAATAATACCAATATTCTTGTCACAAATAAATCACAAACTACATACAGCAGTTAAATAGACACAATGAAGTTTAGACAATGCTATTCAGTAATGGTCACATGGCATAAATATTAAAAAGCATTAAAAGGTACAAACAAGGACATTTGGTAAAGAATAAAATTTGGAAGGTACTTCTCAGAATTTCCTAAAAGTTCCTATATTACCTTTTTATTCAAAACAAGGCCTAGAATTTCCCACTTTCATTTGTAATCGTTTTCAACATATAGGCATTTAACAATTAAACTCAACTGCCTAAAAAGGTTGTGCATGAGTCTATGAGTATGTGACTACATACATTAAAATTTTTTTTTCCATACTACAAATACATACAGTTTTTTCTTTTTCTTTTTCTTTTTTAGAGACGGAGTTTCACTCTTGTAGCCCAGGTTGGAGTGCAATGGTGTGATCTCAGCTCACTGCAACCTCCGCCTCCCTGGTTCAAGTTATTCTCCTGCCTCAGCCTCTCGAGTAGTTGGGTTTACAGGCGCCTGCCATGACGCCTGACTAATTTTGTATTTTTTTTTAGTAGAGATGGGGTTTCACCATGTTGGCCAGGCTGGTCTTGAATTCCCGACCTCAGGTGATCTGCTCGCGTTGGCTTCCTCAAAGTGCTTGGATTACAGGCATGAGCCACCACGCCCGGCCCAAATACATACGGATTGTATCTGTATAAATACCATATGATTTTTGGGTTGTACTAATGGGAGTAGGGTATCATTGACAAACCTTCTTCGACTCATGGACCATTAAAAAAACAAAAAAGGAATCCTACACAATCACATTTTTAAACAACATAGCTTATGGCCAGCTGAGAAAAAAAGAGAAAAGGAACCATCAAAACCATTAAATATATATAAATACACACACACACACACACACACACACACACACACACACACACACACACATTTTAAGAGACAGGGACTTGCTGTATGTCTCCTAGGCTGGAGTGCAGTGATGTAATTAATCACAGTTAACTATAACCTCAAACTCCTACCTTGGCTTTCTGAGTAGCTGGGACTATACAGGCATGCACCACCATGCCCAGCTAATTTTTTTTTTTTTTTGTACAGACGAGGTCTTGCTATGTTGCCCAGGCTGTCTCTAGCTGCTGGCCTCAAACAATCCTCACACTTCGGCCTCCCAAAGTGCTGGGTCTTTTAGAGACATAAGCCACAGTGTCCAGCCTATGTTTGGTTTTTAAGTAGTACAATAATATCACCTTCAAGTTACTGTAAGCATATAAATGGTAAGAAAATATTATTAACAATGATGTAATAGGATTTAGTTTGACTCAGCAATAAAATGACAATTCCTGACTTAAGACTGGAGGGCTAAACATGTGCAGAGAATGCAAGATATCACTTGCACACAAACTTAAGATACACAACACAGAAACAGTTTAATGAGAACAGATTTAAACACACAATTCAGCACTTTCAACAGCCAACTATGACAGTATTAAACATTTCTTCCCCAAATAAAAAGAAATATCATTGAATTCCACAAGCTTATTGTTTTAAAAAATCAGCTGCTGCTAGATGTAATATGCCACAGAATAAGAAAATCAAAGCACGTGGTATGTTTGATGAGTCATGTTCCAAAGAAAACAGTCAATTTTTTAAAGGTTTAAAAGAAAGTTGCATGAAGATAAGAAGAGGATTCAAGTTCTTGTCTCAGAGAACAAACTAATGACCACACATACTGATTTTACTCACACATTATCTGATTCTATACTTAAAGAACCTTATATTACACAGTTAAGTGAAATGTCCCAAATAAAACAGCCATATAGAGTCTCAGAGCAGGGGGAAAAGGAAGTATGCTAACATCAGAAGCACATACCTAAACAAATAAATGTTATATTCAACCTGCCATTGCTAAGTTTCTTTAACTAAGTGACTATTCAAAAGTAAGCTGAACCAGGAGCCATAATCAGTGAACTATTTCAAAAGTAAACTGAACCAGGAGCCATAAAATGTCCTAACAGCTAGTAAATACAAATAAACCATGCCACACTGACTCAACACAAAGGAGACCTTCATAGACAAATCTCTCCATATTTTAAAAATATTTGGCTAAATAGATGTTAGCGGTTTTCTAAAACAAGATAATTGTATTTTTCTGCATGTCAGCTAGTTTATCATCAAGTTTTAGGTATGGTTTACAAAGTTTTAAAATAAAAACCACCTACATATTAATACACAATACAGGCAATTCAAGATTTTGCTCTGATTGATATATAAGATTCTGTATATTACAAAATAAAATATTTTCCCTAGAAATACATATTTTTAACTATCTGATTAACCTTATAAGTCAATGTTCTGTTAAAAAAAAAAAAAAAAAAGCAATGAAATGAGCCAAAAGGTCTTACTTATCTCTATTACTTTATCAGGAATCAGTTATTTAAATCTAAATTCCTTGCTCTCTGTTACACAAGGCATTAAACAATATTGCTATCATAACAACACTTTTAAAAAGCCTTATGAAACTGAGAACAAAGTAATTATGCAAGTAAAGATAACAGAACTGCTCAAGATCTGGAACAAAGTATTCACAAAATCTCAAACAAGGGATAAGTCTTTTAAAAGTATTACTTTTCTGCTAATGTCAAAAAGCATGACAATAGTAAATTTGTGACAATAATAATGAACTTTATCACCTTGCAATGAATCATTACTTTTTCTCATAAAAAGGGAAAAAATTATTTTATAAAGTACAAAATAATTTGCTTTCCGAAATATAGCGTTAATGATTCATTTTTTTTCTGACACCACTACGGGCAGCAACAACAGAAAATAAGAGAAAGCTGGACATGTATATAAAGGATGAATAAAGAAGAAATAAACCAACACATTTACAGTATTCAGTCACTATGGCTCTCTCCAGAACTTACTATTTTGATTGCTATCCTCTAAATGTCCCCTAAAATTCATGTGTTAAAATTTTATCAACAATGTAATAGTATTAAGAGGTAAGGCCTTTAGTAGATGATTAAGTCATGAGAACAGAACCCTGATGAATGGAATTAGCAACCTTAAAAAGGGGCTTGAGGAAATGAGTTCACCCCATCTGTCGCTTTCGCCATTTGAGAACACAGCATTCTCTCCTCCAGAGGATGCAGCAACAAGGAACTATCTTGAAAACAGAGAATAAGCCATCACCAGACAACAAACTTTCTGGAACCTTTAAGCATGGACTTCCCAGCTTTGAGAGCTGTGAAGAAATAAATATCCATTCTTGATAAATCATTGTCTATAGTATTTTGTTATAAAAGCACAAAAGGGCTGACACATTGACCCAATTTGGTTCTAGATTAAACAGGTAAAAACAAGGCAGTAAAACAATATCACTCTCCAGGCAAGTGCCTGTTTACTCAGGCAGAGACCACAAAACAAAACAAACAAACAAACAAAAATTTTAAATATTCCAAAACACATTTTTTTAAGAAAAAGTTATTAGAAAGGAAATCCTCAAAAATCTGGCATCAAGATGTAGAAATAGGAAATGTCAGCCATCATCCTCCTACAGAAACAATTTTGTCAACCACCCACAGGTGGGCGTAGCTTTATGGGAGCCCAAAGTCCAGCAGATATGGTCAGCACCCCATTAGGAAAAAAACTTAAATAAACAGATACATTAAAAAGGGTAAGAACAATTTGACTGTACCTATTTCTTCATCCCTCCCCTAAAGCAGTACAGCGCAGTGCCAAGAGAGATCCAGTCAGCCTTGGATCTGTCCCACAAAGGAAACTTTGACGATTGTGACATTAGAACAAAGGGAAATAACTTTCAGGACTCTGACAGAGAGCTGAAATGATCATGAATGTCAAGCAGAATAGGAACTAACTGACTGGACTGAACTAATAGAAAACGGAAGTAATCTTTTTTTTGACTTTTTGCTTAAAACATTTATGATCCTTTTCGTTTTCCAGAGCCAAGAAAACTTTTCTTTTGAGCTACTTAAAACTTTTAACCGTTGAGTGAAACATAATCCGGTGAACAAAATTTGGAGCATGTTTGCTTCTCTCTACCTGATTTATCCAGAATATGGAAACTATCTGAGTATTCTCAACTTATGGCAGTATAGTTATTTGCATAAGTACAATAAGTGTTTTCTTTTGTAACAGGATGCCACTAGAGAAACTAGTTATTTTACCAAGGCTTTGACTGGAATAGAGTGCTTTCCTTTAAGGAATCAAACTTGACTTACAGCACCAATCAAAGCCCCTTGGAAAAACTGCTTTCATACCTTGTCTACACAGTCCCTGTGCAGCATTCCTGACCTATGGTGAGTAAAGAATGTCACTTTCTGACAGGCCCAGGAGCCCCGAGTTACCTGGGGACCTCAGGAGGAGAGGAATTTATCCAGCTCATAGGTATCTGAGGGTACAAATCCATGGTTGGGCATGGCTTTTAAAAAAGTCTTGTCTGAGATTCCCCAGGGAACAGGATTCCATCAAAATCTAAGTAGAAAGTGATTATTCTTGCTGCGTTTTATGCAAATAATAAGGCCAAGTATAATAAGACTAGTTTGTTTTGCAAACAAATCAGTCCTATCATGATTTATGTTTAATAAAAATGGGTACTAGAAAGAGAACAATTATGTTTAAAAAAAATAGTATACCTGTTTTTAGCTGTTCTTGAGTTTTCCTGCAGTTTGGACTAATTCCTCAATTCTCGGCAGGCTACCAATCCCCAGACTAATTATTTCAAATCTTTACTTTTAAAACTGAGAATTGCACCCCATATCCTAGCACTCATTATTTACCTTATAGTACACTGTTCCCTTAAATGCAGTACTAAAACTACAGATAACAATACTAACTCCTTTGTCATGCAAGCCTTAGAACCCCAGCCAGGCCTGTGTGAATACACTCAGACAGTGGCAAAGCAGCTCCACTCCCTGGCCTTGGGTTAACACCTACCCCCATTACGCCCCTGGTCAACAGGAAGAAGTTAGAGCAGTATTCACCCTTTTTTCATTTTCATTGACCAACACCTTAGTTTAAGGAGATACAAACCTCAGAGGTAGGAATTGAAACCACCACTGCAAAATAATATAACAGACAGTGAAAGAGATCTGACTTAACCAACTCCATTTTGTTTCTAACCTCTAAGCTGTCCTTGTTTATTCCTAAGCATAGGCTGAACTAACTTTGTGAGGAACTTAGTTTATAGTTTAAAACAAAGGCGAGAAACAGCCCTTTTCTAAAACAAACCCCTTTTGCTGGGGGATTAGACTGCTTTTGTAGAACTAACAAATTAGTCAAAATATTGCAAATTATGGTTTAGGATTCATGCAGCTGGAGGCTACAAGATTCTGAACTTCCACAAATTTCTCTTGGGGATAAAACCACTATTGTAAAACCTATCAGTGCTTGAGATATTTTGCAGACCCTACACTCAA